AGAAGAATTTTCACACATTTTAGTGTTTAAAAATAGCCAGAACCCTTCCTCTCGCAACTTCCTGAAATGATTAAGAGCTGAAAACAAAAATAGCATTATTGTTTTGCCAGTTGCTGTTGCACATCAATTTAAAACATTGAATAAACTAAAGAGTCAGCTATAATGGGTTCTTTACATTATTACATATGAATATTAATGGGTTGATTCGTGGAATTGTCTTTAATGCAAAAGATACTTTTTCATAGGTAAATTGATCCATGGTTTAAAAGATTTATGCATACTATGGGCTTTTTGAAGAATTAGGGTTCCTTCTAAAAAGCAGAACTCCAGCCATCCCCCAAAAACCTTTTCTCACCCTCCTTCCCGAAGCCCTTCTCCTGTATTTTTTCTGCAGCTTTTAGGCTAGCCCTGTGATGTCATGGGTTCTTACTCTTGTCTCTTGGCAGCGAAGGGCAGACCTTCTTACTGAACTAAGCAACACTCACATAATGACATGTGGGCACAGCTCCATTTAGGATTACTGTGACAGGGAACAGGTCCATGACAGCCGGGCTCACAGAAAGTGGATTGAAAAATGCTGTCCTTTAATCAACCAGGAAGAACCCAACAGAACTGGCTGGAGTAAAAAGCAAGGGGACAGCGCAGGTGTGCAATCCATTGTCACTTTTTTTTTTTAAACAAGAGGAGGGGAGCTATAATTAAAGATAAACTAGAGTTCGGCTTTAGGTACATTAAAAAAAGTATTTAATGATGTAACATGCTAGTAGGTGTGTAATGCATAAAGCTACAGTTAAATACATAGGCCCTCTGTGACGCAGTTCTGATGTCTTATTCCACATTGCTCCAGGTAGTGCTTGCCAGTGTCAGAAAAAGTTAACAATGAAGTAAAAAATACTTGCACATGATTCTAAAAGTAGAAATGCGGAGATATCTACAGACTCTCTTTGCTACAGATTTCAAACCAGGTCTACAAAACGCGCTATTTCCAATTAAATAAAAACAATTTCCATTTATCACAATAGTATTATGTGAACTAGAACTGATTATTTAAATATTTTTTTTAAATGTGATTTCAATTCCTTTTTTTTTACTTCCCTTTCTAGATTACAGATTGAACAATATTCAGCTTCCAGCTTCTTCCAAAAAATATAATACATTGTCATTCTCTCGTTCTTTCCATAACTTGTCTCATTTGCCACCCTCGTATGAGTCTGCTATCAAATCAGATATCAGCAGATATTCATCACTCAAAAGACTGGGTACGTTTTGTAGATGTTATATGGCTGAATTTTAGCTTTGTTTATCTAAGTTAAATGATAGTTGCATTGCTCCTTACCTTAGCAATTCCTGATAAAGCAAGAGGGACTTAATTAAATTGTTCCTTACCTTAGACCACACCATGGAAGAAATTAATGTGTTGGTTAAAGAGAACTTTAAAAAATACTCTGTAATTGAGAACTATGAATGATAATCATGTTTAACACCAGAGATAACAGACTAAATGTGGATCCCAGCTTTATGAATCACCATCAAATAGTCTTATGGCCCTTCTCAACTCTGTGACCCCCCCCCCCCCACACACACACACACACACACACACACACACACACACATCCCATAGCCCACTACTCTACTCCTTATCTGACTAAAATTCTCACTTTTAGTGCAGCCATGGTGTATTTTGCCCTGCCTTAGTGATTCCAGAGAAAGGAACAGCCACTGGTACATTGTTCCTGAATGTAGTGATTCTAGAGAAAGAAACAGCTACCAGCTACTGGTACATTGTTCCCTCCTTAGCAATTCCAAAGAAAAGAACAGCCACTGGTACATTGTTCATTACTTTAGTGATTCTAGAGAAAGGAACAGCCATTTTACATTGTTCCTTGCCTTAGCGATTCCAGAGAAAGGAACAGCCATGGTAGATTGTTCCTTGCCTTAGCGATTCCAGGGAAAGGAACAGCCATGGTAGTTTGTTCCTTGCCTTAGTGATTCCAAATAAAGGAACAGCCACTGGTTCATTGTTCCTTGCCTTAGCGATTCCAAAGAAAGGAACAGCCACTGGTACATTGTTCCCTGCCTTAGCGATTCCAGAGAAAGAAAGAGCCACTGGTAGATTGTTCCTTACCTTAGTGATTCCACACAACTGGCACAATACCCATACCCCTGTCCCAGCTGCTGCTACATTACACTGCACTCTAATGCTAGTAAAACGCTGGTTGTGGTCTAAGTAGCAATGGGCAATAAAAAGTTTAGAGCTGGTATTGCTTGCTGATTTCTCTTTACAAACCACCAAAAATAACTAATATCTTTGTGCATGATTTAGGGAAAAGTTGGGGAAGTTTTAATGTAATGCTCTCTCAGAGGCAATTGTAAGCTACAGTATACTGTATATTTTCCTCTGTTTAGTCTGCTAGATATGCTGTTTTAAGACTACACTCTCATTGTTGTTCTGTCAATGCCCTAACACTTCCAGTCTCTGGAATATATGGATAGGCTGCAGCATTCAGTGAAACATAGGGAGAGTTCACTTTTAACAGCAGCTTTAACAAAAAATGTTTGCAGTTCTCCTTTACTATACAAAATCCAACCCAACACCATTTTCAGTTGCAGGTATATTATTAGTTAAAGTGAAAATTCAGGCCAACTATAGCACTGCAAGAATTTTAGAAAACTTCAGTAGAGCCTCTGTTTACTTCCAGTTTTCATATAGCACATTGCCAATATATGAATCAGCTGTTTACTGAACATATACATCTATTTATATCAATCCCTCCCCCAGAATGTGCAGGATATGGAGACGATAATGTGAACATGAACATTATAGGGATTAAGTTGCGATTATCTTTTATTTTTTCTTTGTCTATGCTCTGTAGGTGGTATGAGAGTGTATTGCACGTTGTGTTTAGCAGTGGTTATTACACATGATCAGTAAAATGGGTGACTTCCAAAGAGGACTAATTATTGGTGTCTATCTGTAACCAGAACTGCCAATTCAATTTGTGTTTAGGAGAAACAGTCTTCAGGTGCATGACTGCATACACAGGGCACGGCAAGACTTCAAGAGAAAAAAATCTGCTCTTAGGTTTACTGCAGTACAATACTCCCTGTCATTCAATTTTGGTTTTGGACCCATATACGAAGATATATAGTATTTTTGGCCTCTGTGGTTTAAAGTGGAACAGCTTTACTAACATTTTCACTGAGATGGATAAATAGATAGTTATAGAATCTTGCAGTCCTAACTCCAGTCCAGCAGTCACGACATGAACAAAAGGGGTTTTTCACTATGCTGCTGAAGGCAGCAAAGTGAATTATCGAGACGAAGTGAACTGAGCCGAACGGCATTCGGATATTCACTTCGGCTCTATCCGGCTAATTTTATCTGTACATCGGCTGGCTTTGGTCAGCCAAACATGCTCAGCATGTTGGCTGAGCCGAAGTGCAGAAGCCGTTCGAATCAGCCTATGCAACATCTGGATCCGCTGAGCCGAAGCTCCAGCAGTTCACTCACTGCCATTCGCCCCTATTCTCATGTGGGCTGAACGGCAGTGAGTGAATAGGCTACCTCCAAGGTAGCAAGCAGAATAAAAAAACATGTAAACAAAAGAAAAAATATGTTAAAAAATGATTTAAATAGATGTGAAAAAAAGAAAAATTTAAAAAAATAAAAAAAACTGTATAAAAAAGAAAAAAAAACAGAGTGCCCCCCCCCCCCCCAAACCATACCAGACCCTTTAGGTCTTTCCAGGGGTCACCCCTGGAAAAGCACCTTGACCCTGTGCCCATGGGGACAAAGGCCTCTTCCCCAAAAGCCCTGGGGCGTTGGTTGTGGAGGTCTGCGGACAGGGGGGATTATTTGCATCGGGATACTTTAATTGAAAAAAAAACAAAGGATTATGACAATTCCTTTATTTAAAAAATTAAAGTCCCAAAAATGTATCCAACCATGTAATCTAGGGTCAATCACGACATCCAGCGTTGTCCACGACAAAGATGACTATGCAAAATAAGAAAAAACTTGGCGCCCGCCGACCCAACTGCACGCGATGAACTCCTGCCGCAGAATGAAGATTCTGACTAATGCCGGCCAAATATAAGATATTGTGAATAGCCCGTACAGCAGCCCTTCGGTTCGACTGAACCAAAGGGCTCAGGAGGCCGAAGTGAGCCGAAAGGATCAGCCGAAGCTATGGATAGATCCTTTGGCTCCTTAGTGAATAACCCTACTAGTATTTTCAGAGAGAGGTCAGTAATGGAAGTTTAGCACATACGTCCCATATTGTGTGACTTTTTGTATGAATATGAATATATAGTATATGACTTTTTTGGCTTTTTGCTTTTTAAATAAACAATATAGTGGCTGATCTCTAATCCTTTCTTGAAATCAGTTGTGTAGAGTAAACTAAGTTTTATATAATGTTTAAAACACCATTCTTGTAATTTATTGCAATACCAAACTACCTGTTCAGTTTCATTCTGCAGCCATTTGATTTTCTAAACATGCCCTAAGAAATTCTAACCATGGCAAGCTTGGCAACCTGGGTTTTCATTGATTGTGTACAAAACGCCCCCAGAAATGTTTTCTGTTCACGTATTTTTGGCTTTTATGTTTTTCTCTTATTACAACACTGGGGCCAATTGTATGATTATAGTACGTGAGCCTCCTGTTTTGCACTCACGGTGGTTGGAATCTGTCATTTTTAACGGAACGGTGGGTTAAACTTTGCCATAAAGTTTGCTGAAATTCTTGCAATGTATATAATTGGCCTGGAAGAGGAGTATTTTTTGTCAACAAAAATACTTTTAGGCTCCATTCACATCTCTGCGATGCAGGAGAGCATGCGTTGACACATATGATTATGTATCGCACAAGATTGAAATGTCACATTGTGTCATGTATGTTGCATCACACCACAATGCATGGTAACATATTACCATGAGCCGTGATGTGATGCAATTTAAAAAAAGGCTTGTGCACTTCTTTTGCTGTGATTTAGATGTAATAGGCAGGTGATTTAAATGAGAGGGCTGCCCTACTGCAATGCACCCTGCAACGCATCTGCGATGTCGCATAACAGAGATGTGAACAGAGCCTAATTCATGTAGTTGTTATAACTTGACTTTCTTTATCCTATGTACTTTTTTGTACTGTTCTTTTGAAGAACCTTAAGGAGTGCATACAAATAAATAAATAAATAAATAAATAAATAAAAAGACACAATCTAAGAGTCAGAACACTAATGAGAGAGATAAGATAAGAGAGTGTCTGTATGTTGAGCATAGATGTTGACATATCAGTCCACCATTGCACCGAAAGCTGACAATGAGTAAGGACATTTTATTTAATTAAAAAATGGCATTAAATGTATCTTCCATAACCAATATTTCTGTGTTTTTTTTATTGTTTCATAAAGCTGAGAAGGATATGGATGAATTTTATCTAAAGCGAAAACACCTAGCGGAATTAACACGTGGTACCCTTCCTCAGCATGTCATGAAGATGAACTATGACCATGATGGCTACCTGGAAAAATCTCAAACGCCAAGACGAGTCATGTCCCAGGAGCATATCCTTTCAGACAATCACTACCCAGTACACTATGATTACACTATACCCAGAGACCGTCTAATTTCTCAAGAACGCCTTCTTTCTCGTGAGGTCTTGCACTCACAGGAGCATCTGCTGTCTCCAGAAAGGATGCACCATCGTGGGCCACCGCCATTCCATGAAATGCGTCTTGGACATCAGAAGGCCCTGTCTCACACCAATGTCTGTGCGAGCACTCCTATGCTAGACCGCCACCACATGATCAAAATGAATTCCCACCCTACTTCTTCCAATTCCCCCAAGACCCAGTGGGATATGGCCAACCACACAGCCAATCGACGGCAAGCCTTTGCTTCTAAACGTCAGAATACCATTGAGCAACTTCAGTTCATTCCTGGCCATCTTCCTAGCCAGCACCTACGTACTGGAAGCAAGAACGAAGTCACCGTTTAAGCTGCATATTTTACTATTTGTTTTTTTCCTTAATCAGAAAAAAGAGGCAGTTGCTTTTTATTCTGTGGCTTCCTTCATTTTTTCACATTGCTAGTTTGAACTTATCAGCTTATACATATATAAGTAAAACCAAGAAAAGATTGCTCCAGTTTTCTAGAGTGATGAAAAGGGAGTATTTCTACATTTTTTTCTTTACCTTAGTTTTACTGTTTTAATGTATGCAGCTGCCTCCACTGCCAAGTTGATGAAACAGTCAATGGCACCAAATGATGTCAAAGATGATGGCGTTCACAAGCAAGCAGAAAGCTGTGACTCTGGCACCAGCCTACTCTCCGAGGGATGTGGATCATACAGCACCTTATGTGGCTGGCAGGTAGAGATTGGTTAGCCCAAGGGGAAACGGTGTGTTTTCGAAATGGACAGAGAAATTTGATTTCCGGTTGGTTTTTTGCCAGTGAGTGAAAACATCCCCAAGAACAACTAGCAATCAGAATTCAGTCAGGGTAAGGTCAATATATGACACCAACTGATAAAAGATAAGAAGTTGCACACTTTTTTTTAACAATGATAATTATGTATAGGATGAACACAGTGATATCACTGCGAGGACTAGACTTTAAAGTCCTGATTTTCCCAAACTTATAACTTCACCCCTTTTACTAGCAAAACAACTTGGTCAAGTGCAATACAATCTAGTAGCCAATACAAGTGGTTCGGTACAGCACAAACTATACCCGGTATTCACAACAATATTATTGTGATTAGGTTTCTTCACAATCTTAGTGGCTACAATTAACCGCATTCAGTTTTTTTGCCATCAATACAAACATGGTCTAGAAAGGATTAGTTTAATCGTCTTGAACAGTTTTCTCCTCTAATGTTTGCAGTGCTTACTGTCTGCATCATCGTCTCTAATTCAAAAAAACTATTTTTGAGTCAAAAGAAAGCCATCTGGTTCCTGATGTTGCGCTATCAATGCGTCATATGATTTGGTTGTATTATTTAAAAAGAAAATAAGGATTGTGCCATAAAGAAATGTTTATTTTATTATTATTATTATATTTTTTAACTCAATGACGTCACAGTATTTCAGACTACTATTTCCACTATTATCTTCAGACCATCACTGATGGTAAAATTACCTGTAAATTTCCCCCCTTTTCCTACTCCATACACTTCCATGGAGAGCTATCAAACAGGAATGGCCTTAACTGTTTCAATAATATCTCGCCTCAGGCAGATTTTTTGATTATTAGATTAATTCCAGATTTTATTTTCTTTGCCAGGCACAAACTTACTGATCTGCCATGTGTGAAAAGTACTTTCTTTCTCTCCATCACATTACCAAACTAGATGTCAATAAGCTAGAATATCTAATTTCCTGAAAATCGAAAACATTACTAATACATTTATGTGATTAGTCAGCTCAACTAATTGTACTGAAAATGTTTCCTTGTTGACATTCAAATGACTGTCTATCCTTCATTCAGAATTCACATTTTGCTGCTAAGGTTTCATTGCTAGGATACTGAATTCACCTACAATAAAATACCCTACTGTTATCTTACAGTGGATTTACACAGCTGTAAAGATGGATTCACAACCAATGGAGGGAAGATTCCGATGTGTAGCATGAATATATGAACAAATATTTGCGTTATTTTTTTAAACCTTCCATCAAGCTTGTTGACCTCTGCTGCTCTAGATGTAATGCAAATCTTCCCAGGATTTTGACATGGAAATTCAACAGGCCGAAGATCTTTTTTCAACACTGTGGCATTGTCATTTGCACTATTTAGTGCTTTCAGCTAATGTGATTTAATTGTAGCTGGTTTTCAATTTATTTATACATGAGTGATGCTTGAACTGAGGATCTGTGAATGCCTCCTTATACACATCAAATCAAAGATGTTGTCTCACACCCATGTCAAACTCAAATAACATTACTGATCTTCAGATGGTAGTCTTCACAAAAAATCAATTAGATTAAAAAAAGAGCTCCAGTTAGAAAAACAAAAACCTTCTTTTTAGCAATCATAATGTCCCCAGCCAGCATTTTCTTCATCCAGTCCTTTCCTCAATGAAAAAAGTTACTTCAATCAAATGAAGACTTACACTGGAATCAATAGTTCTGTTGGAAATACTATATGGTGTCAAATACACGGTATATACATTGGGGGCATTTATTAATTACTGTCGAACAGCAAGAAGGTGCTAAACAGAAGCAGTGAGACAGTTTATGTTATTTACGATAAGAGTTCAGCTTTATTCATAAATTCCTCCCTCTGCTATTCTAATATAGCACTGTGACAGAATAAAACCTGACTCTGATCACTTCCTAATTGTGCCTCTGTTTGGAGTGAAAATCTGTCTCATCTTCAATAATAAATCCAGTGAAGTCACAACCTTTGCTAAACCGGCTCAGTTGTCTGGCCAGGATTTTAAGCAGGGGTCGCAAATACATAGGATTATTGATATTACAATATAGATATTGCTAAATGAGAGGCGGCCTTATTTAGATCTAATTGTGCTGCTAATTTGATTGATATATGTCCCCCAATGTTATAATAAATGCTGTAAGGTTTCTACAGGCAAATTGTGTGAAGAAATCTCTTAACATTTATTTGACACAATAAAGTTCTATTAACTACAACCACATTGGATATGATCTTGTGACAGTTGGTGGATTTGGTTAACCTCACACCCTGAAATACCTTGTCCAACAATTCAAATCAGTACAGCCACACAGTGTTCTGAATACAACTACTTCATGAGTGAAAAGCACTTTGTGAACCCGCATTTATTACTCAACTACATCACTTGGACATGACTGACCTCTGCCTAAACTATGAAGTTGCCTAAACACCCCCACCACTGACAGGGCATGAACTCTTACACTGCTGGAGCTGTATATAGGAGAGACTGTTGCTAGAATTATGTGCCAATCATGTCTGCTTTGCCTTTCCTCTCCCATGCCCATCTGAAGACACTTCCAATGTTACACTGATTTAAAATCACAGCTAGAGTCCAGAAAAAAAATGGAATTTAACAAACAACAGATTGTAGGTATTAACACAGCAGCAGTATATAATAACAGTTTTTTTACAGAAACAGATAAATATGTAGATGACGGGGCCTATTTATAAAGAACTGTGTAAAATGTAAATGAACCTTTCTAACCTTTCAAACTATTTATAACAAGAGAAAGTTCCCAGGATTTCAATGCTTTTTATTTCCATATAAGTTTCACTGTGAAATCAGTTCTCTAATAAAATGTATCCTGTTTATAGGTAGGTTACAAGAACGTCTTACTTTCTCTACCAGTAAAAAAAATGTCAGCAATATGGACCTGGCGTAATAAATGGATGTGCAATAGGACCATCCCTGGCACCACTCCTGTAAGGTAGTAGAAGCAGTGCCGTGCATTTATTTTTAATTATACCTAACTGTTGCTGCAAAATAAAAATGCCATGCCTGGTTTCCCCCCAAAGGCCACCAGAACATTAGCCATCCTTATAATTGCCAGAAAGTTAGAGATAACCAGCCATGAAGTTCTTTGGAAATATTACCATTTATCACAATGCATCTGTATAAAGGACAACCTCTAATGCATTTTAGCCTTACTCAGGCCTTAGTCATAGTGACATAGTGATCCTTATAACTGCAACATTGCTGGCACTCCTGTGGCCCCTGCTATACTGATAGCAGCTCTTAAGTCCTTCATAATTCAGTAGGATTGGAATTCCATCTTTAGAGCCTGTAGATTCCTTTGGACCTCAAAGTAACATTCTTCTGCTAGGATCAAATCTTAACATACATTATACAATACAAAATTTACACACAGCATTTACCTGTATTCCTGCTCCTAACCTGGCTTTGAATATTGTGATACTGTGTAAATAAACTTATAGAAGATGGCTTTTTGTACAAATTATGGAAAAATTGTGTGGCCAATAATTGTACGAAAAGCTGTTTCTTTCCCTCAGTCATCTACAGGCATGTGCCTACTGTGCCTAATGCAGATCCAGCACTGGGGGTATCCCCCCCTCCCCCCAAAAAAGCAAGTAGCCCTCTGAAAGCACTAGTACCAGGTGCTAATAGTCACCAGGATATTGACCACCTCTGCTGAGAAAAGGAACACTCACCATAAACACTCACCGCTCCAATTCCGTGCATGGACTCCTTTATAGAAAGGTCTCTCGGGTGCTGGCAAAGAAAAGGTGTGCTTTCACCTGTGGTAACACTGGTACAAACAGAAGCCGCACTCCATAGATCTTCTAACTTGAATCCAACTTTATGACTGTGCAAATAACAGATACACCATACAGGCGCTCCCCAGATCCTCTCACACGTTTCACCTACCAAGGCTTAATCATAGAGATAAGATTCTTATACCCATGTGTTCAGAGATATACACCACCCCTATCCCTCCTAGGAGCCAATTTAGCCAATGTATGTACTGCTTAGGAAAAGAAAAACAAACTACACAAATTTCAAATAAAAGGACTTGACACACCCAGGCTGCCTGATTTTATATTTTCAGCGGTGAAGTACTGAACAGATTTTACTTCTTCCTTTCAGCAAGTGCTCCTCCCAGGTTTCATAATGGAAGTCTGTTCTGGTCAATTGGGTTATACACTAAAAACACAACAGTTAGACATGCAGGTCACGCAGACACATGGGGGTTTAATATATTTGGTCCTCTGCCATACTGAATCAGATTTGTAAATAAATGTAGATTCCAGAGTTATTCATGTTCTCTCCTTAAAGGCCCCATACAAGGATTTGAAGACACCGTTTTATTTAGAAATCTACTCCCTTTCTTCTTTCATTATGGTTTGTTTGAGAAATCTAGAAACTATGGGAGGTACATAGACTTGGAGGACTGAATAAATAAGCAAAAATAGCAGCTGACGTATTCTTGGTCCAGTGCAAAGAATCCCTATCATGGTTAGACTGTCCATCTTTAGTCCATAAGAACCACATGTGGGAAGGAATTTTGGGGAAGACACAATTTTAATTAGTAATTCTTCATTCATTAAGGGTTACAAGAACTTTTTTTCTTTTCTTGTGCCTAGTGCTAACAGTGTCTTAATATGGCAATTAGCCTATTTTAGAGTTTTGAAGACCTGCCCTATAAGTCCAGATTAGTGACCTACATTGGTTAAAACTTGCATATATGTATCCCATTGCACTCCTGACCCAATAAAATCTGTGGTGGGTGCTGCAGTGACGGTTGGTGCAGTGAATTCTGAAGAAAAAGAGAAGTCACTGGCACTTCAAAGGTGATACCAATACATCCTTTTATTGATGCGCGTTCGCATTATCACCAAGCAAACAACTTTTCTGGGTCGCATAGAGTCCCTTCATCAAGAAAACCATTTTGCCTGATGAAGGGACCCTATGTGGCCCCAAAATGTTGTATCTTTATAGTAATGTGAACATGCAACTATCAGGGTAGGCTTTTTTTAATCAAAATGTGGAAGATAAAGCTAACCCCATGTTTTGTTGCTCCCTGCTTTGACTGTACCAAATCTTGATCTAGATGTACTGTGCATTAGTAATCAACTGCTGTAACAATGACACTTCAAAGCCATTTTCTGTGCTCTAAATCTGTAAGAGGAGAGCTTGTTTGAAATGCTTAGGATAT